AAAAAAAAAAAAAAAAAAGAAGAAGACAATAGAGAACATATTTATTATCTTGAAATAAATTAAGATACAGAATCAAACATTTATTGTGTCTTCCTACATGAGTAACCTATAGTGAGTAACCAAAAAGATGAAAGGAAGCATCTCTACATAAAAGTATTCCAGCTATGAATGAAAAAAAATAGAACATCACCATTCTGTAACCCCCAGTGAATTACTGGACCTAGGATTGAGCATAAATTGCTGTTATCTTTACAAAGACAATCAGAAATTACATGCCTCCTGCTTGAGGACCAGAATATCACCTATAGTCTTACCAAAGTGAATGAGTAAATGTTTAGATCATTCATCGTTTCAGGAAACACAGAAGACAGAGGAATATGTGAAATACAGCCAACTCCATCATTAACCATTTAGATTTAATGAAATACACTGTGAGATTAATTTACTCACAATTGTTTTCTCTTCTCCTACTATTATAGTCTTTTTTTCGGAATTAGAATCCTTTCCTGAGAAATTCCCCTAGATGGAAGACCTAGCTAATACATTTTCTGAATTCCTACAATACCTCCTAATATCTTGATTTCACTGTAATAGGTAAATAATATGTCAGAACTGACTAATGCATTAGTTTCCTAGGGCTGCCATAATGAAGTACCACAATGCGAGCAGGCTTAATGCAACAGAAATGCAGTGTTTTGGTTACCTAGTACCACTCTGACAAGAATATACCACAAATGGGATGGCTTGAACAAATAGGAGTTTATTCTCTTACAGTTTGGAGGCTTTAAGTCAGAGTTCAAAATGCCAGGCTCTAGAGGCTTGGTGAAAGCCCCTCAGCTCTGCCTCTTGCTCCCAGCTCACTGAAGCTAGAGGCATCTCTTCACTCAGACAGCTGCCAAGCCCAAAGTTGACAAGTAAAAAGGCACAGTCCCGATGTTACCAAACCACACGGTAGGCCATTAATTCAAGTCCACTGAAAGTCCCAAGGTTGGCAGAGCATGGTAGGCTGCTGAACAATGACTCAGCTGCAGGGTTCAAGTATGCCATAAGCTAGAGACCATTCCCAAAGCTGTTTGTTATATAAAGGGAAGCAGACCGCATACCCAAAGCAGCTACTCAGCTGCTCCAATAGATTCCACCATGGAGTTAATTACCAGTCTCACCATGGGGAATAACTACGTTCAGATGCCCAGCCACTCAACCAGGCCTAGCCAAATTGACACACAAACTTAACCACCACACACAGTATCTCACAGTTCAGGAGGCTAGAAGTTTGAATTCTAGCGGAATCATGTTCTCTCTTAAAGGCTCTAGAGGGAAGATCCTTCCTAGTCTATTCCACTTTCTTGATAACCCCAGGTGGTCCTTGGCTTGCAATTATAACATAACTCCATCTCTGTCATCTTATCACTGGCATTCTTCACTTTGTGTCTTTTCTATTTTGATAAGGATATCAGTCATATTAGATTAGGACCCAGCCTTCTCCAGAAAGACTTCATGTTAAATGATAACATCTTCAAAGAACTTATTTGTAAACAAGGTCACATTCACAGAACCAGGGTTTAAGACTCGAATGTATCTTTTTCTGGAATACACAAGCACACACACACACGTGCGCTGGAAACCCAATGGGGGTCGCTTTATGTCGGAACTGACTAGATGGTGGTGGGTTTTTTACATCTTTTGGAGGGATACAATTCAACTCCTAACACCTATTTGCAGAATTTTTGCATTCATAGTTCTTTTCTTAGTAATCCATAGATGTTATTTTACTATCTTCTAGTTTCCAGTGTCACAACAGCACATCTGATAATTTTTGCTTTGCAAGTAGCTTATTCTTTGTCTCCTACCACTCTAGTTTGGAACTCAGTAAACTTTTTCACTTTGTTTTTCAGTCCAGAGAAAATTTACTCTATTTTATCTTCAGTATTGCATCTCCTCTATTTGCTCTTTCTCCTTTATATATATATATATGTATGTATTTTTCCATTTTGAGATACTCTTCTACTTGATCTTTCAGGCTATAAGTTTGAGTTTCAATAATAATCATCTTCCCTACCAATTCATATAGAGAAGAGTATTCCCTCACTTTTCTAGTTCTTCTATACTATGATTAGAACCATGTCACTTTGTTTCTCTTGAAAATCATACTAATATGTTACTACGTTTATATCAGACTTGTCATCTACCTGATCCAGAGCTAGACAATGAGTATGGAAGACCAAAGAAGAGTTGATGCTTTTGAGTTGTGGTGCTGGCAAAGAATGCTGAAAGTACCATGGAACACTAAAAGAACTAACAAATCTGTCCTGGAAGAAGTGCAGCTGGACTGCTCCTTGGAAGCAAGAATGGTCAGACTTCGTCTCACTTACTTTGGGTCACGTTGTCAGAAGGTACCATTCCCTGGAGGAAAAGGGTATCATGGTTGGTAAAGTGGAGGGTCAACGAAAAAGGGGAAGGACCTCAATGAGATGGACTGATACAGTGGCTACAATGATGGGTTCAGGTGTAGCAAGGATCATGAGGCTGGCACAGGACGAGGCAGTGTTTCATTCTGCTGTATATAAAGTCACTATGAGCTGGAGACAACTCGACAGCACCTAACAACAACAATACCTGTTCCAATTCCATTTCACTAAAGTCATCTGTTTTGGATATTCTCCTTATTGTGGATATTCTGTCTCTGTTGCTGGATTTCCTTAAAGAAGTTTTCACAATGTATCAGCATTCTCATTATTTCCATTCTATTTGTCATGTTCCATTTATCTAGCTTCTCTGTCCCTCCTTGCCTTCTCATCTTTGCTGCTGGGTAAATGTTGACCAATTTGTCTCATGTAGTTTATTGTTTAAGGGAGCCCATTTCTCATAGATGATGTTTTTTTGATAAGTTTATCAGTTATTTAGCTGAAAGGAGACCTCTAGGAGTGGCTTCATTTTCAAGTTAAAAGGCTAACTTAGGGCGACAGTCTTGAGGATTCCTCTGGTCTCTATCAGTCCAGTAAGTCTGATCTTTTTTAGCAATAAATTTAGAATAATTCATACAAAAATTGTTAAATGAGAACCTAATTTTTTTTTCTTTTTATTGTGATTTGGGTGAAAATTTACAGAGCAAATACACTTTCCATATAGCAGTTCACCTACACTTTGTCTCATGACATTGACCACAATTTACCACAATGCAACATCTCCCCTCCTACTTCCTCCCGATAGTTACCTCTTCCCTGTGTCCATCCCTCCATGCACTCCTGACCCCTGAGATGTCTCCCTGTGCATAAGCAGCCCTTCTTTCTCCCATGCTTGTTCTCTCCAAGGAGTGTACCTACCGCAGGTAAATGTTCAACTCATATGCCTGTCTACTGTCTGGCTGGAAGCCACAGGTGTGCGTTCAATTCCAGACCTGAAGGGCAGCTAGAGGCCATAGTCTCAGTGGTTCCACCAGGCTCTATCGGACCAGCAAACCTGGTCCTCACCTGGCACAGTCCTTGGATGTATTAATTAGTTGATCAAAGCAGAAAAAACCTACTAGCCTTTGACTGATAAAAATAGGAAAGAAAAATTTTGGAAAAAGGAAGTACTATGGGAGTTCAATTAACTAAAATAAATATTTGAAAGGCAAAAGTTTTAAAACATCTTTTTGCAATCAAATTCCTGATTACATTCCTTATTGATAAATCTTTCACCATCAAAATTATACTCATCTCAGAATGTAAAAAAGGTCCAGATACATTTTTAAATAATATTTTAAAGGAAACAGACTAAAAAGTAATAAAACTTCCAACACTAATGTGGGGGGAAGTGCACATAAGTACAATCACTCTAAATTCACACAGCAAATATTTAATGTCTCTACTATGTAGAGGGGAGCTCTGGTGGCACAGTGTCTAAGGCATTTGACTGCTAACCAG